TTCTCATAACCAAATTTGGATATAAATGCGGTAAAAACCTTGTAAGAAACTTTTTTAACAATATTTCAACAGCTAAAGATTTGTAAAAATCTTGGACCATCTCCACCATTAAACAAAAATTGTAACTTTGCAACGGCATCTAGAAGTAGGGTTGGAATGAGACGATGGTTTATTATTTCTTTTCTTTTGTTTTTCCATCCTTCTTTCTTTTCTTTTTTTTATTTATTTATTCTAAATTAAATTAAGGGTTAAATGGTCATTTATTAAATAATGAGCTTTTAACAAAGGATTCACACCACGATTTTATTTATTGTAACACATTTTAATTGCGTTTAGGGTTCTTAAAATTTGTTCATTATAACATTTATGTCCCTAACAATTTTTCTTGTCTTTCTTATTCTCAAACTTTTCATAATTAACATATTTTGTATTTGATAACAGTCTTATATCCAAAAGTTTATTGAAATAGCTAAAAGCTAAAACAACTTATTTTTCTATCGTATTTTAAAAAAATAAAAAAATAAAAGGAGTAAAAATATTTTTCCTTAATTTCAAAGCATGAAAACAAAATATTTTGATATAAATCATCATCAAGGACAATACATACTAATTAATGGAAAGTTGAAGATATATAAGAATTCGACGAAAAAAAGTTAAGAAAATAATTGCTATAATGAGCAGAGATTGAGTAGTTTAACTGCAATTAAAAAGCAATATATCAAATAAAAAATGTTGTGACAATATAATCACCCTTTAACAAATCTTCGATATAGGCGTTTAAATCATTGAAGATTTTATGTAGGTTAATTAACATAAAACATCTTTACCTTTCAATGTTTTTTGGGGCAAAATGTATCTTTTTTTCGTCATCATCATTTTAACATTTCATTGCGAAAAATGTTATTTTATCCACCTACCGTCCGTTGTTCCGTTAACTCAACATAAAAATTCAGGATAATGAAAGGAATAGTAGTTTTTTGGAAAATGTGTGGTTAAAAAAAAGAAAATATTTTTTGATTTACGTGTAATATTATTTTATTTGAGAATGTGTGGTTGATAAGAAAAGAGAAAAAAATGAATTATAATTTAATAGAGGAATAATGGGATCAAACGGTGGCTATTCTTAGCCAGCTTATCATCATTAACTCAATTGGTTTATATCAATTTCCTATTTTATTGGAATTTGGTTCTTTGAAAGTTAAACATTTAATTGAAAGTTAAACAACATGCTATCACATTGAAAATTTTCAAATTTGAGCATGAGAATCTAATGAAATTCATTCAATTGAATTCATTTGAAAACTCATCTTGATTGGTCATTTCAAATATATAAACATATAGGAAAATTGACTCAAAAATCATATTAGAAAATTCCTTATCGCAGTTCAAAATTAAAAAGAAATGAAAAGTTTTGAGACAAACTAACATAAAAAATTGTTTTGCAATCCTAAATAAAGCCTCGACTTTAGGCGCAATTTCATAATTTCAATCAATCCAAGAGAAACAATAAGCCATCTTGAAAAATAAAATAAAAATAAAGACAAGACGGAATTTAATCTAATAAATATAGCCTCAATAGGAGACACTGAGTCCTATTTGCTTCATTTAAAAAAAAAGTGTAAGAAATGTATACATTGAGGGCCTGAAAACTAAAGAGGAAAAGTGTAGTTAGCACTATAAAAAAAAAAAAAAAAAAATTTAACCAGTGCTAACAATTAAGATGTCTGGAACTAATTTCTAAGATAAAATCAATTTCTTCATAATAGAAAGACATATCAAATTATTCAAATTCTAATACGTCTTTTTTATAGCAGACTGAGGAAAAAAAATATGGTACAGTACCCCAAAACTGCATTTTTTATATAGTAGTGATCTACCCAAAAAATTGCTTTTTTTTTACATAGCAGTGAAAATTGGAGGATCGGGGGAGTCGAAATTGGAAAAATGAACAGTAACGTCTCATTGGTTACTATTGCATTTACAGTAATTGAAAAGTGCTCTTTTTAATATGAGGAAATTACACAAAACCCTACTTTTAAAAACTTAGAGCTTGTTTGGTAGAAATTAAAATATATTAAAATTGAAAAATTAGCTGTTATTGTTAACTTTTATTAGACGAGTGAGACCCAATAGCGGCTATATTTTCAATTTTAATTGGATTTTGAACCCTCTCAAACAAGCTTTTAAATTCTAAATTCAGATATGAAGTTTATTTTTTCAAAAATCAGATATTTTATATATAAATACAAGTTTTTTATATTTAATTAAATATTAATAATATTACTATAAAATTTAATTTATACACACCCCACCCCACCTCACCTAACCTTAAATCCCTAATTCTCTCAGTTCAAGCACAACTCCCTCACCCCCTATCTCTCTCTCGACGGCTTGGATGGGGCTTCTCTCCCACTGCGCCGCCACCATCTTTGACGTCGGTTTCAGAGGTGTCTGAGCCATCGGAGTCTCCGTCACCGTCCCTGGATGCGAGCACTATGGATGCCGAGCTGGTCGAGATGGAAGACGAGATTGATGCCGAGGTAGATGAGATCGAGCCGCCACCAGCCGCTGTAACCTTCTCCCGCCTATTTGATGCCGAGGCAGTGTTACATGTGACCTGTAATTTTTGTTGGTGGTAGGCGATCTGGTTGTGGTGGTGGGGATGATTTTGTTTGTAGTAGGCAACTTTAATTTTTGGGTGATGGTTTAGTTGGTGTTTGGGCGACTACTGTGGGTTTGCAAGGTTTGGTGGTGGTAATAGTGATGGTGGTTGTCGTGACCATTGTGTTGGTCATGGCGGTGCTCGAGAATTGAATAAGATGGGGTTTTTCGGTTTGAGGTGGTGGTGGCGATGACAGTTTAACGGTGAGGTGGTGCTGGCTTGCAGGCAGTTGGGGCAATGTTTTTTTTTTTTTTTNTGACCAATAAAATAATATGTGACTTATAAAATTATTGATTTGTGATCTCGAAATAATCAATGACCTTCAAAGTTTTTGATTTGTGACTGACAAACAAATTGTGACATAAAATTTTTGAACTGCAACCTCGAAATAATCTGCGACGTATAAAATTTTTAATTTGCAACATAAAAATTATATAATATGTGATCGTGAAAAATCTGTATATGTGTGTGTGTGTGTGTGTTAAAATATCTGATTTCAGATATTTCAAAATTGTTTTCTTATTTTTAAAATGGTACGTAGGATAGATCTTATATATAAATTTTTCCCTTTTAATACAGTAGGAGAAACTCTGACATGGGCTTAGCCACCTTCATATTGGGTCAAATGTCAGCCCAACCCAACAACCTCTATAATCAAAATTGACACAATATCCTTTAGAATTAAAGCTCTAAATCACAATATTATTTCATTAATTGCTTCATGCTCTTAAAATTATGACAATTATTATCATATTTAAACAAAAAATTTATATATTGTAAGCCAAATAGCAAGAATCCCATAACAGAACTATAAAAAATCCATAGGTTATTGTTAATTAGCTAATTTGACGGCTAGTGCTTACATTAATCTATGAATTTCGCCATTGGGATACATAGCATGCAGGTTATATTATGAATTCATACATTCCAAGCACATGTAAATCTTTTTATTTTACGTAATTTCACTGTAAAACTATATATAATTCGAGTAGATTCAGTGTGGACCCATTGTCGAATTTAGAGGTGGACTAAATTAAAAAAAAAAAAACCAACAATATTATTGTTAAAATACAAGAGTAAAACAATATCAATCGAACTAGAAAACACACGTGTTTCCAAAAAGAGGATCGTTTAAGAAACTCAAAATTTCTAAAATGACTTCTTTTAATTGAGACATTACAAAGTTTTGAAATCGAACTCCATATTGCAAAGCTTCAATCTTTCTCCAATCAAGAGAAAATTTAAATACATGTGTCTGTACATAGACGTATACAAGAATTCAAATATTCCGCTTTTGATTTTACCTACTGTAATAGGACTTCACATTGTGTTTTCTATTAATTCTCCTAATATGTTATGGATTCTTATATTATAAATATATGATATATTGTACATATTTATTTGATTGACTTAGAGAGTGATTAGGGGGATCCAGATTAATATAAAGAGACTCGCAAATAGAGATATCAGTAGAGAGTCTTGGGAGAATCCCACATAACATATTGTGACTCATTACTTTTGATATAGTGAATTTTCTATCTTTGCCCGTGGTTTTTCCTGTATTGGGTTGTCATGTAAATCTTGCGTTTTTGTGATTATTATTTTCATCTTGTCCATTATCTCGTTTTTAAAATTCACAACAATTGACCTAGTTTCTAACAAGTTGTATCAGAGATATTACCGATTTTCTAACAGATATCATATATAAATAGAAACGCAATTTGTTAAAAAATCGGTAATAACTTTGATACCATTTGTTAAAAATTAAAGACAAGATATATGCATTATAATTAAAAGTAAGAAGTTACAATATGTTATGTGGGATCTCACGCAAAATTTACGTGAAAATCCATGACGGGGAAAGTTACGAACAAAGAGACAAATAATTCACTATAATCAAAAGTAAAGAAGTTACAATATGTTATGTGGGATCTCACATTACTCTCTCTTGATACCTTTACCTGTGAGTCTCTCTCTGTGAACTTGGACACCTTTGATCACATTCTGAATCGATTAAATAAATATGTGTAATACACCATATATTTGTAATACAAGAATTCCTAACATACTGGGAGAACTAGCCCCCTGTTTGGCACCATTATTACGTATAATATTATTTTGTTGGGGAATGTGTAATTGAAAAGAAAAGAAAAAAAAATGTATTAAAATTTTAATGGAAGCCAAATAGAGACTTAATGCAAACAAGAGTTTAACACAAAGTGAAGTCCTATTATAATATGTAAAATTAATGACATAATATTTGAGTGAAATAGGAGAGAAAACCCAATCGAAAAACCTTTTCACTGTCGTCTTTTACTTCTTCAAGACTTCTCCGAGTCTACTACTAGCTCCCTCTACTTCAACAATATTTTCAATTAAACACTCAATAAGAATTCGGATCACAGTCCAATTCCTTCAAACTCCACTTTAATACAAATTCCACTGTACAAAATAAAATTCAACTCTTCAACCAACTTAAATTTTTTTTCCAAATAGAACATTTCAAACAAATTGATCCACCTCTTCCCATAAGCTCAACTAGAGCAAACTCAACAACTGTGAATTGAATTAAAGCACGGTTTATCAACAGGATTACCTTGTATACAAAATTTGCTTAAATTATCACCACAAGCAATAAGATCATCAAGATCAGAACTAACTCCAACCAAGCTAGTAGTAGGTTCTTAAATACTGAATTTGCTCGAATTATCACTGCGAGCAATCTGATCACAACCAACTTCATCCGAGTCAACACTTTTCAAATCATAAACAACCGAATTAGCCTCACTGAATCTCTCATGGGGTCTAATATCTCTTTTTTTCAATTTAGTGATAGATGCATCTAACGTATAAGATATATAACTAGGACTTTTCAGCCCATTTATCACAACTCGGTCCTTACGTTGCTTCTTATCTAGCGTCCAAAAATATCTATTATAACGAAAAATCTTGTTGCGATCCAAAGCAGAATAGCAACCTTTATACTTGCCATCACGTAACAGTTAAACCTTGTCCTGAGTTAATCAAACCTCGTTCTAATACGAAACCAAATTGGCTTTCCTAAGAACGACCAAACCTTTGTTCTAATGCTATTTGTTAGAAAATTGGCGATAGCTTTGATACCATTTGTTAGAAATTAAAGACGAGATATAGGCAATATAAAAAATACCAATCACAAGAGCGCAAGATTTACGTGGAAACCCATGATGGGAAAAACTACGGATAGACGCTGAGAATTCATTGTAATAAAAAAAAAAAAAAAGGAGTTACAACATGTTATGCAAGATCTCACAAGACTTTTCCCCAATTTGTTTATCTACGAGTCTCTCCGTTAACCTGGACCCCTATATTACTCTCAGAATCGATCAAATAAATATATGTAATACATCATATATTTATAATACAAGAATCCTTAACATACTAGGAAAATTAACACAAACGAGATTCTAATATGAAGTGAAGTTCTATTACAATTGGTAAAATCAATAACTAGGTATTTGGGTCGAAATATAAAAGAAAAATTGCCAAAATCAAGAAACCTTCTCATTGTTGTCTTTTATTTTTTCGAGACTTCTCAAAGTCTACTATTAACTTCTAATACTTCTCCAACAGCATTTCTAGTCAAATACTCAACAAAAATTCGGGTCACAATCCAATTTTAACACAATTCATTTTTATCAAACTTGACATTGCCATTATTACCTAACCGTAGTATACGATGCAAAAGTAATTATAATTTAAACAATTTCTAAACAAGTACTTAATTTCACAATAAGTATGATTTATTTTACATTTAAGCCGTTTGTACGGATTAACTGCTCAAGGAGCTTTACGATGCTGCGATGACATCACCCGTATGGCTGTTTTTTTTTGGGCCAACACCTAATGAAAATCAGCCAAGCGAAAATCTATACACTTCCCTGTAAAATTCACATGTACACATAGCATCGTTCTTTATTTTATCTTTCGACTCAGCCTTCTTTTTGTCAAGTTCATTATTAATGTTTATTTATACATGTGTAGCCTTCCAACCCACGTAAGTATGAAACTATATTTTTTGAACACAAGTGTCCAATTTGCGTGTTAAACGACCTTCATGTTGAAAGCAAAAGTGTTTGTAGAAGTTATAATTGGCAACTTCATTGCTACAGTTTTTTGAAATGAGAAAACTGATCTTCAACTGGAGAATTAGCTAAAACAAGAGATGCATTGGCAGCCAAAGAAACAATGGTGAGCTAAAATCCTGCATTTTACTGAGTGTGACAATAAGTTCGTCTTCTACCTATTGGATTTAGACTCCCACAAGAAGCGGATTCAAACAAACTATTTGATTTTAGTAAAACCTCAATCAAACTTTACCATGATCGTCGATAACGTGTGTATGTATTGATACATACACATACATGCCATCTGTCACACTTGTTTGGATCTCTCCTCCTCCATCAAATATTCATCAACACAACTACACAAGCTTCCTATGGCACATTAAAAGTGTCCACATATATCAAAGTTGGCAACTTATTTTACAAAGTTTATTTAAATTGTTACGTCAAGTGTAACAAGTTCATATATTACCCATCAACTTGCAATTGTAACCAAAAACGAATAAATTGACAATTATGAGCACGTGACCAATTGCGTGTTAAACAATCTCTCTATTAAAAGCAAAATTGTTTAAAGATAACAAAATCGACTACTTCTAGAGCCTGTTTGTTTTGGATTAAAATCTGATTTTAATCTAAATTAAAGTCAAATAATCAATATTAACCACATCTTTCATGGATCCCACAACTTTTCTACCACACATTTCAAAAACTTCTATCACAATCTACTAAAAATCTAATTTCAATCCTCACCAAACACCCTCCTAATAAAATATTCATCTTCTATCCATGCAACGGTGACCATAAACAAGTAATAGATTTGGAGCATGTTTGGCTAAGTTTAAAATTCAATTAAAATTGAAAATATAGCCGTTATTGAGTCTCACTCGTCTAATAAAAGTCAACAATAACGATTAATTTTTCAATTTTAATCTGATTTTAATATCTATTGAACACGCTCTTGTTCAAACTCTTTGATAAGATTATTGTATTCGTCGTTCATATGTACGTACAAGCTGCCACACTTGATTGGATCTCTCCATCTCATATTATTTTTCTATTTTTCCCTCCATCAGGTAGAAGAAGAGGGAAAATCGAAAGTCACCCGCGCCCCTAAAAAATATCTTACTATTTATACCAAAATATATACGAATAATTATTCACATAAATACAAATAAAGCCCTAAAAATGATTAGCACAGTCTCATAAGTTCGCGATCGCTCAAAACCCTTAATTTTGATTTGATAGAATTCGCCGAGGGTTAAATCACGCCGTCCTGATCATCTGAAATTGAGAAGGATATCTGGGAAATTATAAGAATTTATTGGGATTTTTGTGTGCGATTTGCAGGATAAAAAGGGAACAAAGATGGGGCATCATCGACCGGCCACGAGGAGTAAAAATAAGAGAAGTAAGCCTGACGACAATGCCGACACCACTTCTGAAATTTTAGGGTACGTTTTCGGATTATTTAATTTTCAATTTTTGATCTATTTTTGCTTCTCAAAGTTTCCATTTTTTTTAATTTTATCCTTCATTTTTGTTATATGCTTTGCCTAATTTTATGCGGTAGTGTGCCGTTACAACACTTCACAATTTTGTTAGGGTTTTTCTCAAAATACCTGAAATAATTTTTTTTGTCGTTTATACTTCTTGAATTGAATATGGTTTATATATATATATTTTGCTTGAGGCTTCAATTTTTCCTGGGTTTTCTTGCCTTATTTTGGATATAGAATTTGATTTCAGGTGTACATGTACATTTTGTTTGGATTAACTTTATAACTTGTTTTCCAAGGTAGAACTTTTGGGCTAAGTGTTATCACTCATATTGGGGTTAAAATCCAGCTTAGTTTTTATCATGATTATTCATTGTTTTCTGAGAAATGATAATTGTGGAATGTAGGAGAATTCTTTTGAATGGTGAGGTGACTGAAGATGATATAAATCAACTTTACATGATATTGAAGCCAGTTTGTCAAGGATGTCGTGTGAACACAAAGGACAACCCCAATTGCTTTTGCGGTCTCATTCCACCTCCCAATGGAAGTCGAAAGTCTGGGTTGTGGCAAAAGACCTCGGAAATTGTGAATGCCCTTGGTCCTGACCCGTCTGAGGACCTCCGTGAGTCCTTCGACGCACCCGCTGGCCTCAAGAATCTTGGTGCAACTTGCTATGCAAACAGCATACTACAATGCCTGTTTATGAATAAATCATTCAGAAATGGTGTTTTCTCCATTGAACCTGAGGTTTTAAAAGAGCAACCTGTATTAGATAATCTTGCACGACTATTTGCACAGTTGCATTCTAGCAACAAGGCTTTTGTGGATCCAGCACCATTTATCCAATCGCTGGAACTGGATAATGGTGTTCAGCAGGATAGCCATGAGTTCCTTACCCTGCTCCTTTCTCTGCTCGAGCGATGTTTGTGCCGGTCAAAAGATGTCAACGCCAGAACAATTGTACAAGATCTTTTCCGCGGAGGTGTCTCACACACAACAAAGTATGTTGCACTGCATTTTACTTGTAAATTTTCCCACATGATGTTGAAATCTTTCTTCTCTTTGTTTTGCACGTAGATGTCTCAATATTACATGGAATGATAATTGTACTCTTTCGAATTATTGTCTACTTAAGGTCTGCTCATGAACTATCGTCTGAAAAGGTTTTGGTATAGGTGAATGTTTAGAATAGTTATTTGTGTGTGCATAAAAAGAGATTCCACCACGAAGTTTGTGAACAAAAGGTAAACATTTAAATTTTCAAATGTGTATCCCTGCACTTTGCTAGTTAGAAAGGAACCCACAAGAATTGAATTGATAGTCTTAGTTGATTTGTTAGTAGAGCTCTAAACAAAACTGTATTTGAAAACCAAATTGTCCTACGTTATGACATATTGAAGCATGAGAATCAACATATATTTCTTAGAAACTCTTATTTGCTCCCCTACATATTCTAAGTGTTTGTTTGGGAGAGATTTTTCTTGGGGGAAAATGATTTTTTTGGAGAACATTTGGTTAAAAAGTAGTAAAAAGTTATTGGGCCACATGAATTTTTTATTTTGGAGAATGTATATTTGAAATTGAGTTTGGGGAAAAATGATTTATGGAAAAATCTCTCCCAAAAAAGCTCTAAATTGTATCCTACCTAAAAGTATAGTTAATCACAATCGAGACTGCACCTTATTGGTTGATATTGTACTTGCAGTTTTTCTTCGATCCTTGTGTTTCTCTCGCAAGACATAGATATAAATATGCAGAACTTTTAGCACGAGATGAACTTCTAAATAACGGTGCCTTTGGTCAATTGCCTTAACTATGACTTAGTTACACGATGTTTAGATATATTGGCATGCCTATGGGATTTAATTGTTATCCCCTTTGTTCATTTGCTATTGGTTACTATGGGTGTGTTTGATGGATATTATTGAGGACATAATGTATTTTAAATAGTGATATGATGGGAATTATGTGGTTAAAAAGTGGGGAAAAGTTAATGATGTGATGTAAAATATTATTTTATTGAAAAATATGTGGTTGAAAATGAGTTTTCAAAGAATGTAATTTTAGAGAGTGGGTGTCAAACATGGGCTATATTTAGCTCTTCTTTTATCCCTCTATGCTTGCCAGTATTTTGTTTCGATCATTTAATGAAATAACTCCATGCTTTCCTTATAGGTGTTCAAAATGTGGAAATGAGTCTGAAGCTTCATCAAAAATAGAAGATTTTTATGAACTGGAGTTGAACATTAAGGGTTTGAAGAGTCTTGATGAGAGTTTGGATGACTTGCTTAGCATAGAGGAGCTTGAAGGAGATAATCAGTACCTTTGCGAAGCATGTGTTACTCGAGTTAATGCTACCCGAAGCATTAAGCTGCGTTCATTGCCTGCTGTCCTGAATTTTCAGCTCAAGCGTTGTGTTTTCCTTCCCAATGTAATTGATTTAACTTTAAAGAATATCTATTTCTGCTTATGTTTCCAAGTCTTATGATTCTCATTCATTAAAATGGCCATCTAATTTATTTATTTTATTATTTTTTTTATGAACATTTAAATGCCAAATGTAATCCAGCTAACTGCTTTTTCCCTTCTCCTTTAGACATAGTTTTTGACTTTGATGCTTGGACTTTTCGAAGTTGACAAAGTACTCGTGTCGACACAATATGGTTATGGGTATGGGATATGTGTCGGATCCTCTAAATTTCAACTTGACACTTCGTCGTTTTTGTTTCTTTCTTCTTTCCCTTCTCCTCTTTCCCCTTTTTGCTATCTATAAACCTAGCGCCGCCACCGAGAGGGTGGACTGTGGAGGAAGGTTTCTTTTCCTTTTCTTCTCTCTCTCTTCTTTCTTTCTTTTTTTTCCCCTTTTCTTCTTTTTTTTTTCCCTTCGTTCCCTCTCTGTATCGATAGTTTAGGGTTTTCTTTGTATAAAATGAAAATAAGTTCCATATAGTGCTACTTAGTGTTTCACTAATATCAAATTGTAATCAAGTCCTACATTTTCTATTTTATATAACATTTAGTAATTAATTTCTCATAAATGAAAATGAAACTCCAAAATTTTATTTTATTTGTCTTGACCCCTTATTCAGTACTCGTTTATTTCTTTGTGAACAATTGATTTTGGTCTATTTAAAATGGCATCTTGAGTTAGTAAAAAAAAAAAAAAAAATTAAAGTTTGAAAGACGTACCTATGTATCCGTGTTCGAAATTTAGACTCTTTTTAGCCATGTCTTGATATTCTATATTTTAGAAAATGAAAGATCGACACTTAGATATGGACTCGAGTCCGAGCATCATAGGTTTTTGCTTCATTTGGCGTGGTTGGATTATATATTTCAGGGACAGCTTTTTCTAAAATCAACTTGGTGTACATTGCTTTTTATGTTTGCAGTCATTTACTTGCATGAAAGTGTTAATTGTATATATTTATAAAATATTTTATTGGCATGAGGTCATTTAGTTTCCTAATCTGCTGTAAATGCTATTTTTTGCTTGTTATTTTCAGTTCTTGTGGGCTCATTTTCTGTTTGATTTGGATTTGTTCTGTGTAGAAGTCATACTTTGATTGATCTTCAGACTTTAGGGTGGTGTATTATAATGAACTTTAGGATGTAAATGCTAGTGCTCCTGGGATTGCAATTGTTATTCAAAGAGCTATCATGTGAGTGAGTTGGACCGAGTCAATTGCTCAGTAGTGAAGTAGCTGTAGCAAATGTATCACATTTTTGGTTCATTTCTTTACTGCATCCTGTTTATGTATACTTTTCTAACATTTGCAGACTACAATGAAGAAGAAAATCACTTCTGCATTTTGTTTTCCTGGAGAAATTAACATGGCACAAAGGTTGTCTGAGCATTCTCATAAAGATTTAATATATGACTTGTCAGCTGTATTGATTCACAAGGGTTCTGCTGCTGATAGTGGACATTACACTGCCCATATAAAGGATGAGAACATTGGTGACTGGTGGGAATTTGATGACGAACAAGTATCAAAATTAGGTCAACAACCATTTGGTGGTAGCGCTTCGACTCGTGAAGTTAAAACTGCAAAAAATGAGCCAGTTGACCACTCCTCTTCTGCAAAGGAAACAGTGGTTCTTGTGGATGAAAACCACACAGATTCTGGTCAGCTCCATATGTCAGATTCAAATCACAACAGTCATGTAAAAACCTTCTCATCCAGTGATGCATATATGCTAATGTATGTTCGTCGACAGTCAAAGGGTGGTGAAGCGACTTCAGGGCAGTCTTGTGAAATGAAAATAGGAATAAATGGTTCTGTATACCGGCAAGGGACAGGTAGTTCTCTTCCTTCCCATCTTTCTGAAGAGGTAGGAAAGTCAAATGCAATGTATCTGAAGTCCTGTGAAGAATACAAGTCAAAAAAGGAATCAGAGCTAAATTGCATAACAGAACGGCGACAGGAGGTACGGTCGGTCCTGTCTGAAGCCCCTGTACAATCACTTCTGAAGCCGTATTTCTGGATTTCTACAGATTGGCTTCGTCAATGGGCCGATAGCATCATTCCTGAGTAAGTCATTATTATACTCTTCATTTTGTAAATTGATGCTAATTGTACTTAAAACGTTGAGGGAAAATTCACCTATTACTCCCTACCACATTATGTATTCATAAGAAGTTATTTTCTTAAGAATTTGGAATTTCTTGGGTTGTTTGATATGGAACAAGAAGTGTTAAATAACTTTTTATGCTTCTAAGGTGACCCTTTAATTTTTAAGTTCAGCATACCTCATTTTACTGGAAGTTTAGAAACACTTGACTGTGTCACATTCTGGAACTTCAGAATGTTTTTATTGTGTCAAAGAGGAAACCGTGAAAATGCAATAAGTACGTTTTTGCAGGAATATTGACAATACCACTATACAGTGCTTGCATGGAAAGGTGCCTGTTTCAATGACTAGCTACATGAAGAGGTTGTCAGCTGAAGCATGGACCATTTTGTTTTCTAAGGTATATAGTCTAGGTTTTCTGCATTATGATCTGCCATCAGATTTCTTTGCAATAAAAGCCTTGTCTTTTATTTTTTGACTATTATCTTTCAAAGCCTATTTAAATTATAAAATTTTCTCGTGTCATTGTATTTCCCCGTGTCTTTGTTTTATAGATATTACGGGTGCTGTTTTAAGATATACGAGAACTTTTATCAGCCGGCTTATTTTTTACATTTTTCTCTGAAGACATTGAGAGTGAGTAGATATTTATGATATCATGTCATTCTTATTCTATTATTAATGTACAACTATGAGTAAAGCTTCAAATTGAAACTACTTAGGTTTGTTTGATACTTGCAAAAGATGAAAAGATCAAACTGAGCAGTCATTTGTTCATTTTTGGTACATTTGGGTTATTTTTCAAATTTGAAATGAACAGAAACAATGAATGAACTCAACACTAAGTGAACTGATATCTTTCAATTTGTTTGTTGATTGGTAGTTTATACCATCAGTTGTCTAAAGTCTCAGTTTTTCTCTAATGCAATCCACAAGCATAATAATTTTTTATTTCTAATTCACACAATTTCAATGATGATCCGGGAGTGAGAACCAAATCCAGTATTTTGCAATTTCAATTTCAGGATGTTGTTTCATTATATGCATTCAGTGGACCTTGAAATGACATGGAATGTCTATAATTATGGTGCAAAAGGGATTTTATGATGAATGATACATATTTATAAGCCTAGACACTGAAGTATACGAGGGTGATGATGTAAACTTTTATCTCTGGTTTGACCTTATTTGCAAAATGTTAAGTCATCTCATTGTAGGCAAGATTGTGAAAACACGACTATTTCTTGAAGCAATGATAATTGTTAATTTATGCAGTTCTGAGTAATTGTATTCCATTGCTGTCTAATTCAAGCTCTGTAACATTCATTTTTCTTTCTGCATGCGTGTTTTATTGCATCTATTTGTCATGATAATATTGATATGATGCTTGTGACTAGTATGATGGAGGTCCAAGACTGTCCAAGGACGACTACTGCATTGACTGCATCTTTGAGACGGCTAACACTAAGGCTCGTGCTGACAGCTATAGGGATCAGAGATCACTGATGAAAGAACTTGCAGAGGCGGCCCTTGCGAGGGAGTGTTTCGATGGCAAACTGTTTTATATATCTAAGACATGGTATGATATGTATCTACAAAATTGTGGACTAATCCCTCCAGTCTCCCCTTTGTTTCTATAGTTCCTTTATATGAGTTTTTCAGGTTACTTTTGATTTACATTTTATCTATGAAGCAAGGTTTGTCTTGTGGCGAGAGACCCAAGTCTTTACCCTTGAGTCATAGACATAAGCCCTGTGGATTTTGAATTGTTTTTATATTAGATAACAACTGAAAATAGAAAAATAGTTCCTAAGAAAGTTGTAGAAGAAATAACAACTTGATGTAGACTCAACGGTATTGGATCCCTCAATAATAAACTTGACACTGTAAAATGTATAGATTTCAGACTGTCCCTTTGATGAAGAAAGATCTTTTTTGAAGTTGAATTTTGGGAAACGGCAAGAGACTTGGAGTAGAGCAATAGCCTTTTAATTTCAACAAGTAAAAGGGGTGAATGGATTATCTAGGTTAACGTAACCCAAAATTTAAGCACAATAACTGATTTGAAAACAGAAAAGATTGATTGCTAAACTGAATTTTAAGCCTTCAAAAGAAGGCAAAAATTTGATCGAAGATGAATTGGTACCATTGATTTTTAATGCTCTACATTGAAAAAGTCAGAGAAAGAAATGTAAATATCCAACCTTTGAATTCAGATTCTTCTGGTTGTTTGCTCCAAGGGTGGGGGCCATAAGAAACTTGAGGGCTGCAGGCTGTCCATTCTTTCAGGCATTTGCATTACGTGTTGAAAAATATTTCTGGCCTGCGTCAAGTTTCGTCCTGAGAATATGTTTGTTTTGATCATATTGTTTCTCTTTTACTGCCCATTTCCTTTGGTGTTCTGCACTTATGTATTATATCTTTTATGTGGGGATATGCTTGGTAGGTTGCAGCAGTGGCTACGCAGGAAAAACATAGAATCTCCATGTGAAGCTGATTCCGGACCGACTGCTTCAATTAGGTGCCCCCACGGGGATCTTATGCCTGAACTAGGCCCTAGTGCTAAACGAATATTGGTTCCAGAGAATCTTTGGCATTTTATTCACGAAAATGCTATGGCTGTGAAGCCAGATGATGTTGTGGGTTGTTCAGCTTTCCCTTCAGAGTCTGATCCTTGTGCCCTCTGCAGTATTGAACTTAAAGAAGCTGTGTCTTCAGAAGATACGTTAAGGTTCTCTCAGAATCTTATAGTTTTAAGTTAACATATATTTATTGTGGCTTACTTAGTGATGTATGCTGCAGAGAGTTCAAATTAAAGCAACGGCAGACTCATGAAAAATTGGCCATGAATAAAAATATGGCTCTTTATCAGGATAGCAGATACTATTTGTTGCCTTCATCATGGCTGTCAAAATGGAGAAGTTACATTAATGCAAGTGGAAAGAATGCTGTTTCTGTAGAACTTGAAACTCTGGACAGCGTGGTTGACATGCTGATGTGTAAAGAGGTTTTCCACAACTGCGTTCATCATTGATTTCGTCTTTAGTTTCTCTTTACGAACACGAGATTAAATTTTCTCGAAGGATACTTTGGTTAAATACATTGTTTATTTCATTGATCTTCTTTCTTTAGTTTAAAGAAATAGGATTTTCTAATCCTTGGACACCAATCTTTGCAGCATTAAGGTTGGAGAGAAGGGTTTTTCTATGTCTGTAAAATAAAATTTAGAATCTTATTAAAACATTTTAGCAATTGCTCAAAATTTTTATCCTATGCAGTTGATAGCATATACATATTTAAGTGGTTTTAACTGAAGATGGGATCCGTTAAATAATTATGTTTATGTAGCTTAGAATTAGAATAGTGTAGCGAACGGATTAGACAAACAAATTTCTGCCTGTGTGCTGTATTGTTATGAATCTGTTCTCCTAACATTTTCCTCCTTGCAAACCAGCACTCTAGACTTCTGGAAAGGCCTCCCGATCTCCTCTGGAAGCGTGGGCTTATTTTTCAGAAGGCATCTGCTGTAAGTCTGCTATTCCCTTCATCCCCTCCTCCCACCACCTACCCAAACGAAAAAAATGGGAAAAAAATATCTAGAATGCTTTAATATTGTTCACTAAGATACTCAAATTCTGAGGTTTCTTAAAGGAATTTTATTCCTTAGTTCATACATATTGGCCTGTTTGGTGTTTCTACTACAATTTAATATCTCATTCACATTATGAGCCGAGATAATTTTTCCCTTACCCTTTTCAGGTCAGTCAAGTCAGCTTGCTTAAAACTCTAATTTTATGTTGTTTCTTTTCTACTATAGACAGATGCGCTAATCCTCATAACTGAAGATGATTGGAAGTTACTCTGCGAAGATTGGGGTGGTATCGCATCCAGAGGAATTTCTGCTAGAATTGAGGTCAATAATTCCTTGGAAGATGATATTGTTGCACCTTTTGAAGAGATGCCAAGTTCTGAGGAGCATGTGAATATCCATTACGAAGTAAATTTGGGGTCATCTAGAAGACCTATTGTTAAGACGTCTCCTCCGGTAATTATACATCCATTTTCTTATACTTGTGTTGGATAATAAAATGATAAAATATTCAGGTTCAGTTTCTTGTTATTCCTTGCATTTGTTACCTATTTTACGTATTGAGTCGAAAATGTCCTTATTGTTTGTCACGTGACTAAAGTTTCCTAATCTATAGGCTGATGAGGTGGGAAAAGTGCTATTATAAGCAAAGTCTGAAACATGCCACTTATAGGACAATTCATATTCCTCCCTCTTTTTTGTATAGTCTTTGGTCATCATTATAATTAAAAGAAAAAAAATTACGTGTCTCAAACTGGAAGATTGATTGGTTGATACAAAAGAGAAGAACCAGAATCATCACATGCATACATGTTAGATATATGCTGTTTCCTTCGTTTGGAGAATGTTGAGTCTAATTATTTTTAAGTTGAAAAAGTTCTTGTCATTGCAGCAGTTATATTAAGTTGTTGAATTACTTTACAAGTTTACATTATTTTTAATTATCTAGCTTTATTCCTGTAAGTATATCTACAATCTGCATTTTTACTTTGGCGCTGTCTAGGTCCTGGGCATGTAACTCATTAAATAAGCACAGCCTTTTGCTGTTCAGATTAATTATTATTATACATGTAGTATTATCATACAAATGGCCTAGCACATGTACAATTTTTATTAAATGGGTGGCAGCAAGACTTGAACCCAATTTTGTTGCCCGGCTCTGATACCATCTTAACCTTGATCTTTTAGAGAGCGGTCACATTTATAAATTTAAACTGTGTCTCCAACTGTATTAAAGTTGCAATGCGGATCTAAAATATGATCCGGACACTGTTGTCTATAAATCCATATTCTTTAGGGTTATTAGTATTTCCTTTTTTAAGAAGTTGCTGCTAGCATATTGTTGAGCCAGCCAATGTTTATTCGATGCAGATGTGGTATGTTCAGATGTAATCAAGTTTCTTTATACTGTGTAGGTCTGCGAGGAGTGTATTGGTGAAAGGGAAAGTACTGAATTGATGAGGAAACTTAACTATACCAATGAGGATATATGTGTTTGTTTTGTTCGTGGCAAGGAACCTCCAAAATCAATCCTAGAAGCATCAGGGAGCATTTCAGACCCAAATCGCCGAACTTCGAAGCGGTCACGGAAGGCAACATATGGAAACTCTGTGAATCTGAATGTTTCTGGATCCACATCCATTTATCAATTGAAGATGATGATATGGGAATCCTTTGGGGTATGCATTTAAGACTTGTTTGCTATTATTTTCTTTTTGAGCTGTCTCTGATCTGTCCCAATTGATGAATTCTGAAATTTAACATTGTGTATTTTTCTCTACTCTAATATTAAGTTCTGCTCCCAATGGCTGTTATGCACCAAAAAGTTGAAGCATGGCTTTGATTGTCGTCTTCCATTATTTTTGGGGTTGTTATGATACCATTCCACTTCCATATTATACTCCTAGTTTCTCTCTCTCTCTCTCAAACTAAGTAATTTCTGTTTGGCCCTCTCCCCCCNCCCCCCCCCCCCCCCCCCCCCCCCCCCCCCCCCCCCCCCAACACCAAAAGTTCAGTAGGATTCTCATTGGTTTGAACTTCTAGTTGTCTTGGTAAAATTTGCTAAACCGTGTCTCATCAAGCTTAAAGTGAGGGGGAATTGGGATTCTTCAAATTTTGAAATGTGACTAGAAATCATTTTTGTATTTCGTGTTTCCATGTTTCTAAATATATTTATTGTCTTTTACTTTGTGCATGAGCTCATAAACTTCTCACTTTTATTTGCATTAGTGCATGTGTAGCTATATCCTCATGATACACTGTTATCTAAAGCATCATTTCGGCTACTATTTGCATCTTGATTTGAAAAATATGGTCCTCCTCGCCTCCATATTTGTTGTTCAATCTGGGTAAAAAAATTTATGATGTCATGTTAATTTGTTGTTCAACAAATGATATGTATTTTGCTTCATACATTTTGCTTAATATTCTAATTGTCAGTATTACCTCAAGTCCATTTATTTCATTCGTGAAATGTATGTGATGGGTTCAGGAATGAACACTTACCATATCTGTGTGATGTCTTATATTTTGGAGTCATGCATATCATAGCTGTTAAGGACAACAATTATAATTGAGATGATGATTATATGGGTCACATTCTTACAGGTTCCTATATTAATTTTTTTAATCGTGAGAGCAAGCTAGATCCATTTACTAACAAGTAATAACCCACTTGTGTAATGGTTGCTATTCTTTTAAGTTATTCTTGAAACCTCATTTTCACATTGGTAAGTTAATTTTGTCTGCAGGTTGTTAAGGAAAACCAGATACTTCACAAGGGTTCCAAAGTAATAGATGGGGAAACAGATTGTCTGGCTGACAGGAATATTTTTCCTGGAGACGTCTTGTGGGTAACTGATTCAAAGATTCATGAGAATCGTGATATAGCTGGTAGGACATTGTTACACTCAAAATCATAATATCTAATGAGCATTAGTGCTGTTTGATTGAATTAAGAGTTTATGATGACAATTTTCTGATACACTTTATGCTAACTGCACAACAATGCTGTTGACTTTTTGAACAAGTTGCAATTTTATCAGCATGCCATTATTTCGCATTACAACTCTATTTCTTTATAATTCTGGAGATGGTGATTTTTCCTTGCCTGTTGGGTGATATAGTTTTGCGAGTTAAATGATTTATTCCTGGTTGGACGATCGATTATATCAATTCTATTGATATTCAATTGTAATGTTACTTGTGTTATCCAATTTCAATTGATTGTCTGCGAGAAAACAAGCAAAATCCGGACATTTTTTTTTAATTTGGTTCTCAAAAGCCTTTATAGCATAAGAATCTGGTGCCTTATTTGGATCATAAATATTCTAACATTGATATAGAAATTATCAAAAAGATTTCTGATTCTTGAACGTAATTTGTGCCTCTTACGACATCAAGTTGCAAGGAAGAGAATTGTTCATCTATCTAACTTTTGGATATGTAATATAAACTATAAAGAATATTCTGGTGCCATAAGAAGTATGTTGACCCATTAACATAAAAATTCTGCTAGATGCCTATGTCAGCAAGTGGTGCGTGTTTTAGGTTCCCCCCCCCCCCCCCCNCCCCCCCCCCCCCCCCCCCCCCCCCCCTTTTTCTTCTTTGGTTATCTTATGTTTTTTTTTCTTTGGTTTTATTATTTTATTTTTAATCTGAAGATGAACTTAACGAGTGGCAGCAGTTTACCGAGAAAGCATTTTTCTTGGACATCAAATAATTCTTGATGTAAAATTTCTTTCCACTTTCCTTTGCATTGTCATTATTGGTTTCATATATCCCAGTCTTGGAAGAAAGTTTATATCTGTTGACGTATTTTGAACATGATATACTTTTGATGACCTGTCTATTGTACTTCTCTATAGATGAGCTCTCTAACTCAAATATGGAGGTGCAAAAGGCCGAGGAGGGTTTTCGTGGGACTCTCCTCACATCAAGCATTTCGTCTCAGGCCATTTCGGAAGCATGCTTAAATTAACAAAGTTATGACCATGAAGTTGGTTCCTTCAATTTTGGATGCTAGAAGAGAGAAGTAAATAATCTTCTATCAGCATTTTCAAGGTGCTTTTCCTTCACTATCAGGTTTTTTGTAAAAATTCTATTTCTTCTGTTGTGGTGTGGATTGCAGGTCTATATAGTCCTTGGTTTTAATAGGACTCTCTACAAGCATCATTTGTGTCCTATTATTATCTTAAAATGGTCTAGTTATTAGTGATTAGTTTACGCCGTCGAGTATTGGTTAGTGGTAACTATATTGAAGCACATAATTTTTTTTTTTTTTTTGATAAAATATTGAAGCACATAATTAGTTGAATAGAAATATCGCGAGTCGATCCTTGCAATAATATCTTATTGAATTCATTCAATTTGCTTTTATAGAGATGGTGTGATTTGGTTTTTATTTACTTTAATGCTATTCAGTTCTCCCAGTCTTAGCAAAGGGCACGTGTTTCAGGAAGCTGTTAGAAATAAATGTATGTTTTTTTTTTTTATTAATTTCTTCTTTACATTTTTAGTAAGAATGCGCAATTATATTTTGCCTAATTATGCATTGATAATAAATAAAAGATATCTAAGCTATAGAATTTCTCAATTCTAACACAAGATACTTATAAAATCGAACAAATTGTTCAATATAACAGAAGTCCTTGAGAGTCTTTTTCTTAGGCAAAACAATTTATATGCATCTCAAGATAATTTACCTAGGGAATACAGATATGTGAGCTAAAAGATGGTTCAGTTCCATGTCAAGTTCCAGAATGAATGAAAAAGGAATCATTTTAGTGACTTCTATTTTTTGAGCCATGCCTGCTTGCTTGCAAGCATTAACTCCTTTACCTTTGCATGGATGCACACAAGAGAGCGGAATGCATTTGTACAAGTTCATAATTTAGGATCCCTTTAACAGAAGTTTATATTTTAGGACCATTTATTATGGAGCAAAGTACTGCAGAAAATGGGGTGCCACACTTTACGAAAGGAATTGTAGTAATTGAAACTAAAGTAGCTTTCTGGCCTTTTGTCTGTATTGCTCATTCCAGTAATTGCTTATCATTTTCTCATCTGAATTACATAGCAATTTCCTCAATAATACCTTTGCCGAGTTACCCATATTTCCCTTTTTTTTTTTTTCTAACATTTCTTTTGCTGCCATGTTGACAGGAACGATCTTGGTCTTCAGATGGCTGGACATGGACCTTTTGTGTACAAATTGTTTTCAGAATTTCTTTTTTATGTAGGAGATAATCACATCCTATATATCACATGTAGTGTTATTTGTGTTTGACCTTTCTATATGGCTTAACACTCCATTTCTAAGAGTGTTCTTCCTTCTTCAAAGCCTTGGCTGCTTTTTGTAGTGCTTTAAGGGCTCGGTTTTACTCAGGGTCCCATTTATGGGGACAATTTTGTACATTGTTCATATTATCTGGAAAACTGATGATCAGTGGGCTGTTGATTGTATATTATGACTGACCGATGGTTTGAATTCATCAGGTTGTTATTGCATATTATAATATAACATAATGTTGCTTTGGGTCATATTGCAATGTTTACATTCAACTTCATTTTTGACGATTGGACAATATTGTAATATTATATGTAGTATGCTAATAAAGTGGGTAAAAAATTTGTTCACGTCGAATGTGTCAAATATTCTATGGATCGTGTTTTACATCTCGAATTTCTTAAAATTTATGATATTACTCGAGGACTTCATTTTCAATCATTTAAATACTTAGTCCTTGATAAAAATTGATGAAATGTGTTGTTGAAAAATAGTGAGTTGAAATGTGGTTAAAATTAATTATTGATTTTAATTTTAATTTCTTAGAGGAAGCAAACGAGGGTTATATATTCTTTTGGGATTGATAAATATTTGGTCACTGAAGTGTTCAATTCGTGTATATACTAGGGGTGTCCAAAAGTTCCGAACCAGACCGAACC